ATATATATATATATATATATATATATATATATACATAGCATATATAAACAATAATAATATAGTTGTGGAGGCAAATAGTGGAACACGAGCTATACGCACACTCAGTTCGGGAGGTTCAGTTCCAATTGACACAGAGAATATGTTATTATCAATATATTATTGCTATTATAATATAAATATGTTAAGCATTGAAACTTTATGGCGAATGCAATGCACAATTCTGATTGGCTGGTGATATATTCCAGATAATTAAATCACACAGCCTGATTGATCATTGTTGATCTAAACTTAGAAGGAGGTCTATATCACTACTTCACCATCCACACAAAGAATGCATGAAATACATGTAAGTACAACGGAATTACAGTATTGTAGTTAGTAATAACTAATTCTCATGGCCGCAAAGAGCGGCTATAGATAGTATAGATCCCGGGGCAGTTTTGACCATTGGTTGGGGGTCTGGGGCCACCTAGGCCCTGCAGAATTGAGGGGCAGATCCCTGGTGGCGCCGAACGGCGGTGGGGTTGGGGGTGAACGGATTCAATGGATTAGAGGATTAATCGATGATTATAACAGTTACTCTATGATTAATTAATAATGTAAAGAATTTAGTATTTGAAAAATTGTACATTTGTAAATTTTAGAGTCGTAAAAGTCATATAAATATTAATGAAAAATAATTATAATTAATTAATTACGAGCTTTCATAGATATATGGTCTAGCTTTATTTTCAATTCTCGTGGGAAAAACACATGAATGATAGTGGATGATTACGTTTGATGACTTTTATTTATTTATTCCAGGGCTCTCGGCGCCAATGCTAATTGGTGCTTGTTTAGTTTTCAATTTTCTTTGCAATGTCATTTTTAAGGAGTATCTAAAATACATTGTATTTTAGCCTTATTGAAAAGCATGTGGCTGCATTGAGTGGTGATCCGGTGTACGATAAGAATGGCCCCGGAAAAAATGGCTCTGGAAAAAATGGCCCCGGAAAAAATGGCCCCGGAAAAAATGGCCCCATATGACTAGTAGGTGAAAATGGCCCCCAATAATCAAATTCTGTATTAAAACTGATTTTCTTGAGTCAATATATGCATTTTTTTATCTTAAATAATTTAGTTTTTAAAAGGAATCTAACATCAAACAAATTGCCATTTACATTTTACTTTTTGTAAGAATTAATATTCAATGATAAAATATTCAAAGATAAATAAAAAGCCATGAATTACACTTTTAATTTTTTCCCCCATTTAATCAATAAATCAACATAAATCATGTATTTATTAATACTAAAATAATTTACTTGTGGCCGATTTCACGGAAGCGAAATCACAATTTTCCAAAAATTCAATCTGTGTATTGGTAAACCCCACAAACAGTGGGTTAGTATGAACATCAAATTATTATTATTTTTATTAAGAAAAAGAGAGTTCTACAATCATAATTATATGGTTTAGATTGGGTTTGCAGTGTGTTTAGAGGTTTGTGGTGTATTTGCAAGTATTTTTTCATAAAAAAAATCTAAATTTTAACCAAAATAGTTATGAATGTATTTAATTTTCTTATTGATATACCAAGTCAGTCAATCACAATTGAATTGTTTGTTTTTCTACAGTCTTTTTTGGGAGGTTTGTGGGATTTAGCAATACCACTTAATCCTACCATAATCACCCTACCCTCACAATCACACGCCATTTTAATTCTTAGCATAATTGCCATACATAACTATGTATAATTCTAAGCCAGTAGTAGGCACTTGAATTTAGTTAGTGATGAGTAAAAACCAAGTATGCAACTGAATTAGTTGCTTACTAAATAAACGTATTCCTAATTATTCAGTTTACTAAAAGCAATACTTCTTTGAATAAACTCTAAGCAGACAATTTATTGTTAAGTTTGCGAGAAAGTAAGCCTCTCCCTTTTCCCATACGTGAACTTGTGATTCAAACCCACAATTGATCCACATGCTTTAACTACTGTTTATTTGCATTGTTTATAACATGTAAAATTAATTCATTTGATATTGTATACTGTATGTCATTCCTCTACTTGGTTAGTGAAATAACGTTTTTAAAACTTTTATTTCTACTATCAAAAAATGTTATTCAATGGCCATTGTTTTTTTTATTATCTCTCAGAACATTATTAAGAAATTTAAAAAAATTCACATATTGATCTCAGTTCAAAGGAAAAAATAAAACTTATTTCTAAATTTACAATTTTCACCTATAAACCTCTTAATTTCACAAAAGAGTGGGTTCTTTTCCAAACAAATACATCCTGCCTAATATTGTGTGTTTAGATTAGATATTTTGCTTTAACTTTGGAAATTGAGATCATTTTAGATACTATTTCTGTATAAACTAATTTTTTTTTTTCAGATTACTGTAAACCTAATAGGTTTTGATAAATTTACTCTGCACTACGGAATTTCCAATAAAAAAAAAAGAAAATTAATTAAAAAGACCATAGATTAAAAATAAGTAAGGCGTAACATATTTTTAATATGTTAAAGCATAAATATTTTTACATAATGAAATTTAGTAAATCAAATTATTATTTGTGGCTTTTATTTATTAAATCAATTAAGAACATAATCTCAAAACAAAATTTAATGACAAGAAAGATCGACGTTTCGGGTCCATCATGGAACCATTCTCAAGATCAAGTAAATTGAAAAAACTAAAAACGAAAATGCCAAGCAGTGACAGGAAGTAAGTAATTAATTTACATATCAATAGGGCCTACTGTGTGTGGAGCCACAGTGGAGCTAAGCAATAATTAGCCCTTCTTAGCAGATTAACTAGATAAACAGTTTGGCTTTGACAGAATCAGTTTGTTTGTTAAGTGTAGGTTTCAGTTTTTGATCCAAAGCATTTCTTTAATTAAGCAATCAAACTTGGATTTGCACTTAGATAAAACCTTGAAATAATTAACAGTTTCAGTAGCACTAATATAATGATCTTTTAAATGTTGTCCAATGTTACCTTTACTGTGCATAATCATTTCTTATTGAAAATAGAATTAATTAATCAATCAGTAACTTGTGTTTTTTTAAATGAAATTAATGATTTTCTTTAAAAAGATGCTACCCAAAGCGAGACTTTTTTTTATACCTTGTTTGACGAACTCGCTGACTATTGTACATTTTACTGTACTGTATATATGTATTCCTACTAAAAAGTTTCTAATACTAATTTAACAGTATCTTTTTTAACACATGCAATGTTACTATTTTTTAAAAGTTGTTTTGTAAGTTACAGCATTGTAACAAAAACTAATTTATTTTAGTTCTCAAATATGCATATTCTTTATGTTGATTTATTAATTAAATTTTTGCTACAGGGTATTTTACAGCATTTATTTATTATTAATTTTTTTTTCTTGAATTTCATAATTGAGGGCCATTTTTTATTTCTTGATTCAATTCTTGCTTACAGTATTTAAATATTTGAAGATTAAAAAAAAATATATCATTTCTATTACCGAATTTTTCATAGGGGCAATTTTTACCTACCTGTCATATGGGGCCATTTTTACCGGGGCCATTTTTTCCAGGGTCATTCTTACCTACATTCGCATTGAGTAGTGCGAAGGTTAAAATAATAGTTTTAATTTGGTAAATAGATTACTGTGTAACAGAAGAAACAGTGTTATGAAAATAACTATGATAAATGTTTTCGTATGTAAGTGTCGGTATGTTATTCATTTTGTATTCTGTTATTATAGTGAGGGAGTTGCAGTTCCCCAGACTACATGCAGGGAAGCTATGGCTAATGTAATGATATACCTCTGCTTTTTTATAAGACGTTGATATGACCAATATTGCGCCTGTATGACAAAGTCACAATTTAGGCATATAAATGTTACTTCATTCTTGAAGTGGTATAGGCCTTCGTTTTTTAAGTACAGGTTATTACTACAGTGCATTTTACAACTAATTTTGTGAAAAATTTGCCCCCAAAATTGGAACTTTACTATTATTTTTCTAGTTTTCTGTAGGCATAAACAAATGTATGAGCGCTAGAATGTTGATGGATGTTAGGATGTTTGTTACTTAATTTAAAAATCCGATTATGCTGATGTAGTAGAGATCAGATATCCTAGCTATAAACACGATAGCGTTGTATGACCAAAACTAAAAAAAAGAAAAACACTTTCAAACTTTTGTTATTATTGAGCATTATCATAATAGCAACACAGACCTTTATTATAACTAATTGTACTTTTTAAGCAAAACAATCTGATCTGCTTCATTATCAAAGATATAATTTCCGTGTTGAGAATGTATGGTTATGAATTGTTGACATGGAATCAGAAGCTTTAAGATAAGAAATGACAATAACATATTTTCCGTTCCGAAAGTGTTTTGCTAGTTACATTGGTTATAAAATTCTAGTGTACTGTTAATGTTCAGGAATTCATATTTATGGTTAAAGGCTTGACATTACTATACAAGAATGCTGCTAATTTTTAGATTACCGGGTATATGGCTCTCTAGTATTAAAAACTGCACAATAATCGTACACAGGTACAAATTACAAGTGTAATATATTTTATTTCTAATACTAATTCCTGAATTAAAAAATAATGTTACAGTGATTAATTAAACAATAAGCTGCTACTCCCCATCTTTGTCTCCAAAATCACCACTACTATTACTAGTGTACACTCATCGCTGGTCCTCCAAATAATCACTAGTGAGTTGGAGAAGAGAGGTATAATGGTATTTGTGATATTTTTTGTGAAATGAGACAGACGAGAGCATGTGGCGCAGCGTGTAAGGTGCTGCACTTGTGATCGTGAGATCGGAAAGTTCCAGACCGGCGTTCCTGGCATTGCTTGTGTCCTTGAGAATCATCATTATCGTCGTCGTCCTCATCGTCGTTGTCGTCATCATCATCATCATCATCTGTTTTATTTTTTTTCTTGTGTACAAAATATCTCCAAAAACAGATGCACATATGTAAATTCCAGTTACCAAAGGATGAGAAGATTAAATATTGGTTAATGTCCGGAGTAGGGTGTACACGTGAGGACCATTTAAAGGAATTTGTCCTAGACACGATATCTCAAAAAATCATACACTGACATGAATGAAATTTCCGTGAAGTTTAACCAAGTTACAAGAAGGAAATTATCAAGCGCTGGTCACTATCCAAATTAGAGGGCGAACTTTAGCGTCTTTTAAATTTTTGAGGTCCTGCATATTTCTTCTGTACAAAATACCTGAAAGACAGCTGCATTAATTGGTTTAAATGCCAGTTACAAGGATGAGGTGATTCAATGTTGGTGACCAACCGGCGTAGAGTGTGCATAAAGGAAAACATCCCAAGCCAGACATT